CGGCACCTTCTCACCCATGTAGAAGGCCATCACGTTCCTCACGAACTCGGCCAAAGTGGCCGTCCGACACATTCCATAGTACTCGCTCTCGCAGCTGCTCAGCGCCACGATCTTCTGGGTCACACCGCGCACCATGAGGGTGTGGCCACCGTTCTTGATCACCGCCCCCGTCACCGACTTCCGTGTCAACGGATCGCCAGCCCAATCACTGTCCGACCAAGCTCGGACCTCCATTTCTCTCATGGGCTGCTGCTTGAAAATCTTCTTGAGGTAGGGGACCTTCACCAAGTACCTCGCCACGCGCTTCAGCCGCTGCATGTCACCTTGCTTCGGCGATCTCATTGCCGAACTCAACACCTTTACCGCATGCCCCAAATCAGGGCGGTCCTGGCTCAGATAAGCCAGGCGCATCACCATGCTCCTATAGTCCACCGCCTGCTCGGCATCCAGCTCTGGCAGGCGCTCCTCAGCAACTCTCTCGGCGTCCCGCATCTTCTCCTCCGGGATGTCCACGCCCTTGGTCTTCTCATTGAACCCGAAGTAGCGCATCACTATCTCCGCGTGCCTTGCATCCGCCTCCAACTCCACTTTCCACCTCGCCGCATCATCCAGCTTGAAGCGGATCTTCCTGTTCAGGAAGAACATCTCCTTGTCATCTTCCGCGCCCCGGCCAAGCATGGCCTCCAGCCTTGCCGTGTAGCGCGTGTTCAGCACGCTGGCTCAATCACTGTGCTGTTCATAATTCTTCATCACTGGCGAGTCGTCTCGTGGACAGGCTAATCAGCCTTTCTGAGTCTTAAAGATTGTGGCATGTGCATGCACTCCTGTGACCATGCTCCTTCAAATCAGCCGATGAATGCCCTTAAAACACCTTGCTGGCATCCTGCGCCCCATACGGACGGCAAGAGTCCCACCATGTCTGGATTTCTTTTTCACTCATCATCTCGTACTGGTCCTCCTCCTCGGCAACACCACTTATGCTTTCTCTTTTCCGCACGCCCGCGAAAGTGTGCTGAATGAAACACAGCAAAGCCACCTTGCATCCGTTCTCTGCTCCTCCTGGTCACAAATGCGTCTTGCATATGTTCACGCTTCCAGCGGGGTTTTGCATCAAAGTTTCTCCGCTTCGAAGTCGATCTCGTGTCTTTGCCTTTCGCACTTCTTTCGCCACCAATCTGCTCCTGACCTTCACCTGGGTCGCGTCTCCCTTGTTGATGTCCAGCCACTTCAACTGCAAGGGCTTCATGCCCTTCCCTTCCCAGATCCTCCTTGGGACCTTCACGTAGACGCCCTCCTTGTGGAGCCAGCCCAGCTCCTCCTTTCGCGCCGCCTTCACCAAGTGCGCCGGCAACTCCGTACCGGTCACATCATCCACAAACTGGCCGAACTCCTCCTTGTAGAGCTCTTCCTGCTCGACGTACTCATCCGGTGTCGGGCCTGACAACTGCTCCTCCACCGCACTGATCTCTCCCCTCTCCCGTAGCTCTTTCCTCAGGCCACGGAGAATTGCCTCCACCAGCTCCTTGGGGTAGACCTGCGCAGCCTTAGCTCGTCCACCTCCCACCAGATGAACATGCCGATGCACTTCTCGACCTTGTAGGACATTCTCACACACGCCCTCCAGCTCTTCTGCGATCCTCCTCGAGTTCGTCAGCCACAAAGTCTCCTTTCTCACATGCAGGATTTCCCCTTCTCGGTCTTCCATCTTCATGCCCCAACGGCACATCGGACTCTGAACCAAGTACGTGTCGACTCGGTTCACCTCCTCTTCCACCTCCGGCATCTTCCATGACGTGGACGGTTTCGGGTGCTCATGGAGATAAAAGGCACCCTGCTCCCGCTGCTGTTTGCAGCACTTCATCGCGGTTCTCATCCTCGCCTTTCCAAGCTCCTCCTCCTCTTGCACCACGCCCGGGTCCCTCTTGCCATTGGACACGTTCCTCAGTGGGCTAAACGTAGTGCACGGCGGTGAGCTCGTCAGGAGCCACGGCTCCTCCACCTGAATCATCTCCAGCACCTCCTTCTGATCTTCTGGCCTGTCGAGGTTCCACCTCTCTGACCCATCTGGCTTCATCTCCTCTAGGTCCACCGCCGCTCCGTCACGCATGCCAAACCGCTTCAGCTCCTTTGTCACACGCTGAGGTGAAAACACCTCCAGCACATCCAATGCTCCTAGGCTAGCCACTATGCTCGCAGCCTCCTTGCTCCCGGCCTCTGCCAGGATCTCCTCTGCCTCCATCCTTCTCGAGCCTGCCTGGCCGCTGGCATCCTCTTCCATATCTCGCAAGACATCTTCGATGTCCCTCGCTCCTTGCTCTCCTCCTTTCCGCTTTGGCGATGCTTCCCCGGCATCGGGGCCCCGGCTTGAACTTGACGGCTCAGCCTCAGCCCTTGCCTCATCGTTCGCTTCTTCTTCCGCTACTCTCTTCTTCGCCCTTCTCGCACTTTCTCTCTCGTCCTCATCTTTCTGCTTCTTCATCTTCTCCTCATCCTTCTTTACATCCTCTGCAATTCTCCTCTTCATCCTCGCTCTGCACTCCTCTGAGTGGCTCGCCTGAACCAGCGCTCCACCCGTGTTGATTGTGTGACACCCTTGGCATCCTGGAGTGCTCCCATACTTCTGCATCATCGTTCTCCTCACCGGCCACGCCCGGCCCTTTGCCGAGTGACCTTCTTCCTCTGGGGCTTCTCCCCCCTGATGCTCCTCTGGGCGCTCAACCAGGACCTCTCCTCCAGGTCCGGGAGCTGGGGCCACGAGGACCACCGGGGGCAGCCTCTGATCCTCACCTTCTTTCTGCTGTTGCTGCTGCCGCTCTTCCGGCTGCGGGTTGACATACTTCTTGATGTCCCAGGGCACACCACGCAATCCGGGCTCCAGCCTTGACCACCTCTGATCCTCAGGCACCGTGTGGAAGCCCGTGCCAACCACCACTCCGGCATCCGTCATGGCCAAGATCGACCCAAACCTGTTGTGGGTGCCCAGGTACCTCCCGCTCACCATTCTTGCCCAATCTCCTCTCTTTCCACCTCCAGCAGGTTTGACCATGATCTTTTCACCGAACTCCGGCATGGCCTTCACCCATCTTTTGCCTGTCCTTCTCTCCTCTGGCGTCCTCCCATCTGCTCCGACCTTGAACCTGCCATGCTGCTCTGCAGAGTACCTCGGGGCCCAATAGGTAATAGGATGCCCTTCAGGAACTCCACCTTCCAACTTCTTGTCCAAGGCCAAGAGATTGGCTTTGCACCTCCATTTGATCTCCTTGACAGCCGCCTCCGCTTCTCCATTCGACCGTGAATCTCCAGCCGGCGACTCCTCTGGCACCGCCTTCTTCAATCCTCTCGCCTTCTTCGCTGCCTCCATCTTCATCTTCACCAAGCTCCTTTCACCATCGCTTTTGAGGACCACCTCCTTGTAGCCCAAGCTTTCCAGGAACCTGGTCAACATCTTCTGGGCTGTCGCATCCACGAGCCCTTTTCTTTCCATGGAGGTTGCCGTCATCAGCCCGGTCTTCCGGTCCCGAGCTACAATGTTCGGCTTCGCACCTTCGGCCTCGCCCATGTAGAAGTAGTCGAGGCTCACCGTGGACATGTCGGGATTCTCACCACCATGGTCCACCTTCACGTGCTTCTGGACAAGGCCTGCTGCTTTGACGCACATCTCGCACCAGCTCCTGTAGACCGCATGGCCGCTCGCCTCGTGCTCCTTTCTCTCACGCTCGCTTGGCTGCGGCGGTACCCAGCCCGGGTGAGCAGGTCTGGCCTCCACCAACTCCTCAGGACCTTCTTGCTGAACTCCGATCTCATCCTCCAGAGCCCAC